TCTCTGTCTCACTCACCAGACCCAGTACTGCAGGTTCAACCCACAGACACACCTTAGTTCTTGATAATAACTATCTGTGGGATTCTTTAGGATCTTTCTAGAATTCATATACCACTCCCTCCACCCTCCCCAACCACAGTTTGGAAATGACTATGAGAGCACTGGGCATGTCGACTTCTGTGGAAGATTCCAGAAGATCCAAGCCCCACTGGTGGAGTTGAGCCCATGCCCTAATAGCCACGTGTGTTCTGAGCCAGGGGTTATAGGTGTAGGTCCTACCAAGTGAGGGTTTTCAGATTAGCAAATCAAAACGCAGGATGGATGCCCAGTTACATTTGGTATCAGATAGAATAAGAAATAATGTTTTAGTTTGTGTCTCATGAAATATTTGAGACATACCTTACTAAAAAGTTATTGCTTGTCAGAAATTCAAATTTAACTGGGCAGCCTGTATTTATTCTGGGAACCCACCAGCTAGGTGCCTCTTTTGTTTTTTTTTGGGGGGGGGGGCAGCACAGCTTTGTGGCTGATAGGGGTTGAACACATGGACTCTAGAAGCAGGCGGCTTGGGCCTGAATCCTGGCACCACACAGCTGGCTGTGAAACCAGGGTGAGTTACTTAGCTTCTCCTAGCCTCAGTTTCTTCATCTGCACAGTGAGAGCACATAGCGAGAGGATTAAATGAAATGATCCATGAAGATGCTTAACCGGGTCCTGCATTGTGGTGAGTGAAAAATAAATATTACTGAGGATGACGCTGGGAATCCCTAAACTCCCCACAGCTACAGTTAAACATTTGATGGACATGGCTGGGCTTTTCTTTCCAGCACTCTCTGGTCCCACTAAAATTTAGCTCTTTGAAAGTACTGGGACCATTTGGGGGTGCGGGGGGCTTTGGGAGGTTTCTGTCTCCATTTTGGGACTGCAGGTGCTTGGCAGCCAGAAACGGGCTGTCGAAGAGGCTGACGGATGACTTGTCTTTCCATCCGAGTTTCCTGGTGTGGAGGAAACAAAACTTCGGTCGATGATTCATTGTTGAAGTTGGCTTTAGCCAGCACTTAAATAGAAGCGGCTGGCTGTAGAAAACTGTCACCACCCAGAAGCAAGATCTGTTTCAAACTGTTGTGAGCAATGTGGATTTCTTACAGAGGAGACCTGGGTGTTAAATTATATGCACTGTTGAGTCTTCTGAGCCACGTGCTCATAAGAAAGTCAGCCACCCTGGCCTCCCACCTCCCCTGGCTTCCAGCTGTTCAGCAGACCAAAGCTTCTACAAGGCTGGCTTTCTTGAGAACAGGTTTCCCTAAAGCCTGGTACTTACACCGCTGGGGCACATACATGAGAGAGCACTGGGTCACACAGTGAGAAAGCTGTTCCCTTTCCAATTCTCATTAGATCCTGACCGTGGTGTTGAGGAGGCAGTTTTAATTTGATGTCGGTATGTCTTTTAAAGTCTTTCTAAAACTTGCTAATCTCTATTTTATTAACAAGATAATAAATAAGAGGAACTTGGCCTCAGGGTCCTCTGAAATGTACAAAATACTGCTCTTGTCTTGTGGGTATGTTGGCTCTACTTTTATTTTTATATTTCAAATATTTGACCGTTGTGTCCCAATTAAAAACTTGGAATGTTTCCAAAATGCCTACATTTTGGCAGGCACTCTGTCTCTTACTCTGCCTTTTAATCTTTATGCACAATACAGTCCTTTGCCAGGATACATGTCCTGAACTTTGGGAAATAAGAGTGTTGTACATACATGGATACAACCAGAAAGATGAACTATTCCAGTGACAACACTACCAAGTAATTCAAGGCCCAGTTCAGAGTCCCCCTTTATGTCAGGTAGGGAGGGTTCTTTAGTTGCATGCAATAGAAATCAGGTTTGGCTAGCTAAAGCTGCATGCGTGGATTGCTCACATAATCTATGATAAGCCTGAAGGTCTAAGCTTGGGAAGAAAATGGAAACATGGGCAGCTTGGGGATCTGGGTAGCAGGGAGTCACAGGGAGTCTTTTCAGGGCACCACCATCGGGATGAATGGGCTCCATTCATTTTCCTGTGTTTGCATCTCCCTTCTAAAGTTTCACGTTACTAGGAGAACATCCATTTTGCCTTCCTTGGGTTATGAGTCCCATTTGGCTAGAGGACAGAGCACTTTTACTCATAGGATCCCCGACACAACATTACAATGGGTGGGATCACTCCCCCAAAGGAAAATGAGATGCAGTTGACAAAACTCCTCCTAATTACAAGTGCTTATTCTGTGCCAGGCACTTAAACTTTTTGCATCTACTGATTCATTTAATATATACCACAACCTGATAAAACTTTAATGTTATTGGCCCTCTTTACAGAGGAGGCAACAGAAACCCGAAGATAAAATAACTTGTTCAAGGCCATGCATCTGGTAACTACAAGAACCAGGATTCACACTCAGGCCACCTGTCTTCAGAGTCCTGCTTTTGACCACTGAACTATAAGTAAAGGAAAGTCAATTCTTGGCAGGCAACCCCTCGAGTGTCCACCTCTCTTCCACTCCATAGAGACTGTCTTACCCTCTGTCCAAATGACACCTCTCCCAGCTTTGAACCCTAAAGCCCCATGCATCTCTCCCTGTTAGGCTGCTAGCTTTTTTCCTGGCGATTCATGTCCCTGTCTCACTCTGTCTTCTAGACCAGCGTTTTTCAACCAGTGTACTACAAGAGGCACACTGGTGTGCTGCCAGAATTTTTAAAACATGCAATAATCCCCGACTATTTAGTCAGGGCCACTGACCTCTTTTCCCTTAGATTGTCAAATAAAATTAAAAAAATGACAACAGCCAACACCAATGACAATCGCCATCCAATGTGAATGAATTAAAATTATACCTATGTTTTCGTCGGGTTGGCAAAAAATATATTTTTTGGTGTGCCATAGAATTTTAGTAATTAATTTCTGTGTGCCGTGAGATGAAAAAGGTTGAAAATCACTGTTCTAGACAGTAGGCTCCTCATTAGCAATGACCAGGCTGTGTTTATCTCTGAACCCTTTACAACACATAAAACAGGACCATGCATAGAGCCAAAGCTTAGGAAACATTTGTAGAATTGAATTTAATCCCCCTGATAACATTTAACCTTAGCAGAGATAGATAGCTAGAAAGATAGAGAAAGAGAGAGAGACAGACAGACAGATAGACAGGTCATTTGATCTTGAACGGGAAGGGGAGTTTTAATACACTCTTCATTCATCTAGTTAATAATTAAATACTGTAAGTGTCAATTTGATGGTGCACTGACTTCCTGCCTTGCTGTTTGATTAATCTCAAAGGATCGTTGTGAGATCCAGACTTCTGCCCCTGAGCAAAGACAGCCATCAGACCAGCTCTTAGCATCAGCAGTCAGCCCAAGCATTATGAGCCTGGACTCTGTAAATAGATATTTATGCTTGTTTTTGCAAAGGATGAAAGGATCAGATGTATTGTGATTGTGTGTGTTGGTCTGACTCCCTGTTGGACAGTGTAGCCTGTAACTCATCAGGGCTGCTGGGCCCCCTCCCTCTGGCCTTGGATAGAATTCTCCAGTCAGGAAAGCAGTAATAATCCCGTCTCGCTCCCCCGGTGGGCTTTGAAAAACTGAGAAGGGCTGGCCCCAGAAGTCATTTTAATTGACACTAGCTTAGCTTTTGAATAACTTTTCCAAATTGTTAAGTGGTATTATGTGTTTTCGGTGACTTGGGCATTAGAGGGTGCTTAGCTTGGTTTCTGGCACCAAATTCTGGAAACTCAGTTGCTACGTGTAGTTTTCGGCATTTTATTTAACTTCTCTGAGCTTCATTTTGTCATCAGTAAAATGGGGATACTTTATAGGGTTGTTTATGAGTATTTTGGCAAGTTAATACGCACACAAAAAATGGTATTTTTCATTTGGATTCTCCCAAAGTAGCTCCCAAGATTCAGAGTGGGGTTCAGGTAGTTTATTTGGAAGGCGGTGTTAAGCAGGAGAGGGGGAGTGGCGAGAGTGAGATAAGTAAGGAAGACAACAAAGACGTGCTAATGAGAAATTTACTACTGGGGGCGATTTAAGCTTGACCCTACCTGGGGACCCTTGAGGTACTATATGGAACATGGTTCGGAATCATGACACCAGAGGAAAGAGAGTTTGGGCGTTTATCCAGTGGCTCCCCTCCTCCATGGTTGAGGCTATAAAAATATTATCGGGCTATAAAAATATTATTAAAATTATATGTCCTTACCTCCTGACCGTAACTACAAGAAAATTTCACTTTGTATGCAGCTGGGGCAAAAACAGGTTTACAGTTGTGAGTAAGCGAAACCCAGAGTTTATAGGCATGGGATTTGCTACAAAAGCGGGACAGATTGACAGACATATCCTTGAAATCAGAGGAAACAGAATCCCCAAAGAGTATCTAGTGACCAAGGCATGGTAATTTGAAATGCATCATATGTTAACCTTATTTAAGACAAGAGAGCATGAGAGGGCAGTTAAGGGCATGAATTCTAGCTTGGTTCAAAAATCCTGGCTCCATCCCTTGCCAGCTGTGTGATCTTAGACACGGGCAAAACCTCCCTCATGCTTCAGGCACGTCACCTGTAAAATGGGCGTAACGATAAACCCCACCTTTCAGGGCTGTTGGGGAGGTAAGCGAGTTAATACATAGGTATATCGCTCTTTTAACAGCATATAGTAGGTGCCTCATAAGTGACATTGTGATTATTGTTATTTTTATTGTTGTTATATGCTGTCTTTAGTAGTTCTTTTATTGAATGGTTTTATTTTCTCTCTTGAAGAAACTTGAACATCTCTTTAAAGGCTTGTCCTCTCTCTACCCTGTATGTCCTGTACAGTCTTTAGCTCCCCATCCGGAGCCTCTTCTAGCACATGTTTTTTTTGTTTTTCCATTTCTAGTCACCTGTTTCTTACATTTCAATGTGTGTGTGTGTGGGGGGGGTGCTTTTCCAACAACGATTTATGTGGAGTAACTGATGCCAGGCGAGATTATATGCTATGCTGAATACTTTATTTATATTTTTTATGTAAACATAATTTGCTTTGTAGGCACAATATAACAAAAGCTCTAAAGCCACAAGTACATTAGACAATGTTTCAGTTCACTCCAATCAAGCTTAGATTACAGAGAAGCCTTCACAGTTCCTTTAAGGCAAACTGAGACGTGCTTTACCCCCCCTTCCAAGAGAAGGCGCTTCAGGCGGGAGTGCATTCAACAGGCCTTTCGATCCTTTCCTGCCCTTCGTGGCCTGCACTGATCCTCTTGGTCAAACTAGCTGTCTCTTCCCATTCTACGAAGGAGATGAAAGGGTTTTCTCTAACCAACGGGCATTATTTGTGATGGCCGTATTCGTTTTGCTAGTTGAAAAAACAGATTTGGGGAGGAGTGGCTTTATGCTTCTCCTGTGGACGTAAAAAAGGCCACCTGGGTTCCGAAGGTGGCGTTCCCACTCCCCTGGCCGAGGAGAGGCCTGGGAAGGCCAGCGGCCGTTTGCCCCTCTGGCCCTAGGGATGCCCTTTCTGTCCAGCTCACCAGGAGCGGAACTTGGGTAGCTGGATAGAAATGGCAGAAACGGTCTTCTTAACGCCCCATTGTCAGCGTGGTTATGGGAGAAACATGACCAATACTATTAGCATTTGGCAAAGGTGTTGGGATAAAACCTCAACGTTCTCTCTCTAAATGGCACCGGGCTGGAATACTGGTGAGTCCCGGGGTAGGACGAGAGGAGGACATGGTGTCTTCTTTGAGAAACTCTCATCTTTCTGCACATCAGATGGCGGCGCCCTTTCCCACCCTCATACGTTACATGTACATTCACGAGAGACTCTCCCTCCAGGTCAGTATTTGGCATGAGTAGGTCATCATCACAAGCTTCGGGTGAGGGGGAAAAAAGAACATGATTAATGAGGCGACATTTGTTACAAAAGGACTTTAAAAATAAAATAGGTAATCGCTGAAATGCGCTCATTCCCATCACTTTGAGGAAGCGTTGGGTCTACCCTAAGGCTCGTTGGTGGAGAGATCGGGCAATCTGGGGACCCTGCAATACCTTCCAGGATGTAAAGTGAGTTGGGGTCTGATTGTGTGGGTTTCTTGTGTTCCCAGCTTGGTTTATGAGTGATGGGGGTCAACCCTTTGGGACAAAAGGACTGGGGGGTGGGGAACAGGGAGCCCCCTTGTGGAGATATTGAATCTTTTTCTCTTTCTGCAGGGGAACGGTTCTCAGCCATGCCAGGGGGGTGGGTAGGGCAAAGGGCAGGGTTTCTTAAAAGTTTAGGAGCTGGAAAATTGAAAAAGTGTGTAATCAAGTAGCTTGGTCCCCAGTTCCCCCAATGCAGGGGCCCTGCAAAGAGTCTGCACCATAATTTTATATTTCAGAGGAGAGGAACCACACGTTTGGCATCTGATAAGAATGTCAACCTTAGTACCACTAGAATTTGTCACATTGTTGGAACATGCTTTGGCAAATAAAAGGATGCTCATTGATTTTTTATTTTTATTTTTTCAAATATCGTCTCCCACGGAGGTCTTCCTTGGGGGATCCACGGTAAAGGTGGCTGCTCACTACTAGGAAATGAATTTAGCAAAATTGGTCAATGCCCATAGCAAGTGTGCAAACACAGACGAGTCTCGGGAATGATTTCCAAAATAGTCCCACACGTGTTGAGTTTTCTTAAAACTAAAACACAATATATGTGGTGGGAGAGGAGAGGATTTTGCTCATGAGATGTGGTTTCAGAGGAAAAAAATCTCTATGGCTGGTCCTCAAACTCATGCTGTTGACCCACCTTTTATCCTGAAAACTTCACATCTGTCTCCCTGTTGTTTATGGACAAGAACCAGTGAAGGGATCGAGCATCAGAAGGTGAGAGGACAGTGGTTCAGTCTTCTGACCACGACACAATTGAATGAACGTAAGGAAGCTGGGGGAGAGGGGAAGTGCTATTTGGAGAGATCCTAAATTTATGGGCTCACGAGATCGTCCGGCCTACCCTCTTTCCGCCAGCCAAGTCGGCAAGTGCTCGTATCGGAAGCATGGGTGGCTGGCAGCGAAAAGTGCCACTGGCCTGAAGGATTCTAGGATCTGGATTCGTGCTCTGTGATAACACCTTTCAATCCAAACTTGTCTCTGCCCCTGTCCGGTCTCTCAGGCGCTGGGCCTGTGGGCTTGTACTGATTAGGCTGTTCTAGAACTGTCGGGAAGGACTCGAAGACGGGTGGTTGTGAAACAGGGGAGAGGGGACAGTGTAATACACAGAGGGGGAGGGACATAATACTGCATGGAATGGGATTGGCACTTAATTTCAAAAACAACAGTGACCAAAAGCTTTTTAGCTCAGCTGACTGCAGACAAACACGACACGCACTGGACTACAGCATTTGTTCACTGGGGCACAGAAGAGCTTTCTCAGGCGGCTCCTCGTCTTCCAAAGCACCCTCCACCCTCCCGGCTGGGTCCTGGGTTACTGGATAAAGGGCATCCGCTCCTTGTTCTCGCCGTCCCCCTCGTGGTCCTCCTCCTCTTCTCCCGCCTCGCTGGTCTCCGTGCTGTCATTGGCCATCTGCAATTCAACAGCGGACTCGTGAGAGGGCTCTGCAGCCTCACCCCCACCTTCTCCGAGCATCTGATGAGGCCACTTGGAAGGACCTCTTTAGAGGGCCGAGAGCGGGGGTTGCTCGCTTCCCCAGAAAGGCAGTGCGGTACCATCTGTCTTATGTTGGGCACCCCAAGAAGCAGTCTCTGAGCTAAGGATTTCAGTGCAAGTATTTGGAATTTGCGAGGGGATTTCTTCGAGCGTAGCCTTCCATCCAGATGGGCTGTGGCCTCCGCCCACCCCAGAGATGCTCCAGATACAGACCTGAGTGGGCCCATTGTCCATTACCTCTTTGTTGCCTTAAGTCCCAGGGTAAAAGTCCTTCTGAGATTCAGGAACAAGGGCAATGATACGTGCCAAGGCAGGTTTTCAGTTCTCACCGTGAAAGGTGTGCTTTTCAGCTTCTGCTCTGGTAAGAACCACATGTCGTTCCCCCCCCACCCCCCGGCCTCCGGGGTCAAACAGGCCTTCCTGCCAGCCCTAGAGCCCAGCAGGGCCTCATGTGTAAGGAGACAGGTGGGAAGCCAGTGCCAGCTAATTGCCTTGAAAGCAAGAAGCAGTCCAGGATGCCTCTAGACCTGTCTGCCCGGTACTGATGGGGCTGAAACAGACTTGGACATGTGTTTAAAGAACACAACATAGGTGCACAGAAGTCCCAGGATCCCAGGCACCTTCTCCTCATTTACCTGGCCCCTCACCTGCCTTAAAAACACTTGTTGGCACAGTCCTGGAACTCAGTAAGCCCTTAATAAACTGCATCCATATCATTATCAGCAGCTCACTCATAGTAAAATGCCCTCTCATTTAAGCATCTTTTTCTTGAGTGAAATGGCCATCATACATAAACTACATTATAGTTATAAAAGCCCAATAAACACTTTAAAAACACACATGCTTTAAGCTAAAACATTCAAGACGTTTTAGCTCTTTCTCTTTTGCAAATGACTGATGCAGCTCCAAGATTAAAGATGAGAAAGCAAAAAAACTTCCTAAGTATTTTCTTTGTCAAACTTTTCCTAGAATTTAGTGTGCACGAGACAATGTTTTATGCATATCATTCTAACTGAGAATTTATCAATCTCCAATGTACAAGACGGGGACAGAAGCCAGAGAGGCGAAGTAATTGTTTAGGCCACACATGGGAGCTCATAGCTGTGGACTTGGAACTGTGCAGTCTGGTGGCAGCTTCTGTGTTGACCACCACACTACACAAGCCCCCTTCAAGTGGCCACTGCAAGAGCGTCTGGGATGTGAGTTTGACATGTTTCACTCCCGCTGGATATAAGGGTTTTATCCTGGTAAAAGAAAGCAAAATCAGTGGAATCATCAGGAGGCATCTCAGAGGGAGTGGGCATCGACCTGTTGAGTATATGCATGTGAATTTATTAGATGCTTACCAGGAATTCCTCCTACTCGTGGCAGCCAATAGAGAGCACTTGTCATGGACCCAGGTCGATTGTTTCTGTCCTTTCCTGACTGCCCTCAGAGTGCTCTTGAAGTGCTCTCACTGAAGAATTATTTTCCTTTGCTTCCCAGCATTTATCTCAGTTTCTGACATCCCCCATTGGCACAACCGTCCGATTATCGCAGGCTGCCTCTGCCAGCCCATGAGCTGCCTGTATTTCCCTCTGCCCCACCTGTGCCTGCACCTGATCAGACCCTCTTGTGTTGAACTGAACGGATCCCTCTGCTTTTGGCTCACCAGTGGAGTCGGGGTCTTCTCTACATCCAGAATTAACTTGCCGATGTTCCCCCGGTCGTGGATCCGCTGCATGGCCTCCTTCACCTGAAAGATTAGGACAAAAACCGGAAGCTCACATTAGGTGAGAAGTCTCCCAAGGGTAGAGGGCCTGGAAAAGCCAAGCCTCCAGACGCCACCAGGGGGCGCCGCGGTTCAAGTTTAGAGGCGAAATCTGAGATGGTTTTGGAAGTTGGGTGCAAATAAAATCTGGTTGGGTCACTCTCACACCCTGATCTTGGTCTCCTGGGTCTAAAAAAAACCAGGATGATAGCTCCTGAAATAATTAACATTTCTTTTTAAAAAGGGGACCCAGGGGTGGGAGTGGGTAAGCATCTAAGAATTGCATGCTGCAGAGTGGCAGGACATTATCAGCCAGAGTAAATTTTGACCAATAAAATTATTTTTTGAGTCATTTGCACCCTGCTTACCTAAATGTTTTATCATTCTGACTTATAGTTTGGCTAAAATGACTCATTCCCTGGGCTGAACTACATTTTAAAAAATTCCCATGATTCCTGGTATTGGGTAAAAATTTGGGGTCCAACTAAATAGACATTTCCAGAGAACTAGTATTCTCCCTAGAAAAGACGACATATTGTGTTTTTTTTGTTTGTTTTTTGTTGTTGATGCTTTCAAATTATGGGAGCCAACAGATGTCTCCTGGGACTCTTTATAAAAAAGCGGGGTTTGACAATCTGATTTATGCTTTGGGTATTTCATTCTGTTGCAGTGTGGAAAATGAACAGTAGGGGGTGCTGTGATGATTAAATGGGATAAGAAAAGGGTGAAAGAGAGCCCAGTGCTTGGCATGGGTACATCCTTCACATTTCTTAGTGATTTCTAAATAGAAATGCAACATCTCCTGATTAAAAAAGAAGTTTCAGTAGATTTAGCCTAAATATTTTTCCTAAAGTCTTGGATTTTTAAATATCTTTGTTCATTCATTCAGCCCACAATACTCATTAATGGTTGCTTAGAGGCAAGATGCCATGTTTTAAAAAAACTTAAAAATTAAGCCAGGGTGTCTGCCTTTAAGGAACTCAATCCGAGGCTGATGGAGCAGTGTTTGCTTATATAAAAACCAAAGCCATTTTCTCATTTGGGTAAAAACTTGACAGAGCCATTAAAATGTGTGTATTCTAATTGCCTTTCCTGGGATTGTATCCTAAAAACATGATTCAGATTATGGGAAGAAAAAACTTACCACACAAAAGATACTCAATCACAGCTTTGCTGTTAATGGCAAAACATTAAAGCAACTTATATGTCACAGAAAAAGGGAATGGTTAAGTAAACCATGACTCTTACATTTTTCTACTGAATGGAAATGTTACATAGCTGTTAAAGTGCTAATTATAAAGAATGCACAGCAGGGTCAAATGCCTTTCTAATACTGCTAAATGAGAAAATCAAGATGTCTATTTTTATTTGCATCCCCATAAAAACATGGAGATCCTACAATAACTAGATATATGATAAACCATTATGTAAGGGAAATGTGGGCCAAATTCTAGTCCAAACATTGTTATTTGGTAACACGTTATCAGATCTGTATTTAATATAAATTAAATGCATCTCTAAATGTAGCCTTTGGATAACCTAGCATTGGTTAGAATCAACATCTTTTGTAGACTGATAGTGTCATATGATTGTTAAGTTTCTTGACCCTAATACAGAATCCAGTAGATTTCTTCTATTTCGGTGGTGAACATTGCTTTGCAAAGTAGTCTCATATTTGGTTATCATAATAGCAGCTACTATTTACTGAGCATCTTTAAATATCATGGCAGACAGTCTCTAACTGTCCTCACTTCCTGACACTCACACCTTTGTGTAACCCCCTCCCTGTGACTGTGGGCTAGGACTAGGGACTTGCTTCTAACCAACAGAATACAGAAAAAGTGATGGGACGTCACTTCCAAGATTAGGTTATAGAAGACTGTGACTTCTGTCTTACAGTCTCTCTCTTTCTCTGACACATGTTGCCTTGCTCTGATGACACCAGTTGCCCTATGGTGAGCTACCCTATCTCCCTAGGCCCACATGCCAATGGCCAACAGCCAGTAAGAGAGGTTGGAAGCAGATCCTTTCCCAGTTGAGCCTTGAAATGAGACCAGAACCCTGGCTGACACTTGGATTGCAGCCTTGGGAGAGATCCTGGGCCAAAGGACCCAGTTAAGCCATGCCCGGATCCCTCGCCCACAGAAACTGTGAGATCATAAACGTTGTTTTAAGCTAATAATTTTTGAGGGATAATTTGTTATGCAGTATTAGATAACAAATACTTTCTTACCTTGCATACGTGATTCTGAACCTTACAGTGGGTATACATCATACCCATTTTACAGATAAGTACCTCAGTGCTCAAAGGGATAAGCGATTTGTCCTAAAATTCTATGGCTATGGGCGACAGACTGTGGTTCAAATTCAGGTCTGTCAGATTTCGAAACCGATGCTTTTTCCTAATTCTGCCCAGACTGTATTGCTTGATTTGATTCTCAAAGGCAGAGGAAAATGGTAGGTAATGTCTTACATAATGGGTTTCCCAGAATTACCCCAGCAAGTCATTAAACACCTGGAAACTCCTTGGAGATTAGGAACAATTTTTAAGCCGCTTCTCCAATAAGATAGAACCCAGGGAAGCGAAAAAGCTGTTTTCTTGCCAGGTAATGCTTATTGTGATGCTAGGGAAAAGAAGCCCCCCTGCAGGGCTGGCTGTAATCTGCATGTTCTTTAGACAGTTCTTTGTGAAATGAACCGAGTCCTTGAAGTCTCTGTGTGGGGGGTGGAGAAAGGATTAGGAGTCTTTCTAAGAGATGACGAAGGGCCGTCTGTCCCAGTCATGCTGTTCGAGTTTACATCCTCTTAGCTGCTCTTGGAGATGTGAGAGTCCTTCTGATGATAACGTAGAAGGAAAGAAACAACCATTTTTTGATCAATTCTTTATCAGGCACAGTATGAGGCATTTTGCAGATGTTGCTTCATTTATCTGTACACCAAGCCTCTGAGGCAAGTACTGGCATTACAGTTTCACAGGTGAGAAACCCAAAGGTGAAAAGCCTAAGGAGCCTGGTCCAGGCCAGCATCTGAATGGTGATTAGAACCAGATGGGGACTGAGAGAGCAGCCGCCCCTTTTCACAACTCTGGATGGACAAAACCCAGGACTCTGTGGTCTGCATCCCTCAAACTACCCTCAGATAACACCACTGCAGGGTAAAAATCTGCAAAAAGAAATTTTGCTCCCGAGTCGCTGGTTTACAAACCAAGGTGCCCAGGTAGGTGACAGCACCCAGGTGGTGATGCAGCCTCCCGAAAGCTACTTGTCTCTCTTGTGGTTACCAGAGAGATTTTTCTGAGGCACACTTCTGCTTACAACTTTTTCCCACTGTGCTCAAGAGAAAAGTCTAGCGGACCAGTGTTGCCTAACACAGCAGCCACTAGCCACAAGTGGCACCGAGCACTTGAAATGCGGCGAGCACACACTGCAACGCGCTGGAGTGTAAAATCCATACCAGATGCCAAAGACTCCATAATGATAAAAGAGATCACAGACTTCCTCATTGAGAATGGTTGCCACCAGTTACCTGTTGAAATGATGACATTTCAAGTGGGTTGAATAAAACATGTCACTAAAGTTAGTTTCACCTACTTTTTACCTTTCTGAATGGGACTACTATGAAGTTGAACACTTTGCATGTGGCTCACGTTAGAATTCTGCTGGACAGCACTGGACTCATTTCCAGAAGCTGATATCTCTTGGCCTTTCTGGCTTCATTGCTTCCTCTCTCACTCCTGCCACTGGGCACATATCTGAAGCTCACAGGGCCTCTCAGCCCTGTGCCTCCGTGTAGGCTGGGTTCCTTCCGGAGAGCCCAGCTCGGATTGGTCTCATGGCTGTCGATTTCCATAACTCTTCTTGCAAGCTGCTTTGCTCCCCTCACCCCTGCCTCTTGCAGTTTGGGCCAAGCCTCCTTTGGGGTCCTCTCAGCACCTCTGGCCAGCCAGTCATGTTACCCTCACCCTCTGGCTTGAAGCTAGATTTTCCAGAACTAAGGATCCTGAGCATACTCAGGCCATTTCCACTGGAGCTGGTTTCCCATCCAGACAGTGGGAGGAAATTTGAGTCATGTCATTGAAGCACCTTAAGATGCCAAGATCCTGAGTACAGAGGCCATCTGAGCCTTTTCTGACACTTCTTGTCCTTGGGAGGCCACCTCAATACCATCCCAAGTGGATAGTGGCAGGAGGCAGTGAGTACATCACTGAGTCCTAGGCTCTGCTTTGACTCAGTAATGTCATTCCAGCAAATCGCTTCATCTCTTTGTCCCTCAACTTTTTACTATCTTAAGCGATAATTGCTATTCTATCCATTCATTTATTTAGTCATTCATTCATTCATTCATTCATTCATTCAGTCAGTCAGTCAGTCAGTCACTCAACAGTGCCGAAACCGTATCTCAGGAACTGTATATAGAGTAATGGGTGAAACAGATATGCTTTCTCCATCCTAAGAGAATCAAAGTTTCACTTATTAAATAGGCTAATCTTAATAAGAATTTCACAGTTTTATAAGTGTTCCTGATTGTTTATTTCACCATCACATGTATCACAACCTATCAGAGTTGGTCCTGTACCATTGGTTCATGCTTCAACAAGGTCCATTGGTATTCAAGATGGCATGCAAGCATGACCCACAGGAAAAATGTAATGGGCTCAGACCATGTTTGCAGAGGAGCAGTAGTTATGATCATTTTTATTTCTGTCTGCAGTGAAACTGAAGAGGTGGGGTTTCTGGAGGCCTGGTAAAATGATAGTGAGCGAACATCTGCAAGATCCCCTGCCCTCATGAACTTTTAAAAAAATTTTATATATGTCATTATTGATTTCAGAGAGAGGAAGGGAGAGATAGAAACATCAATGATGGGAGTCACTGATGGGCTGCCTCCTGCACGCCCCCGACTGGGGATCGAGCCCGTAACCTGGGCATGTGCCCTGATCGGGAATCAAACCGCGATCTCCTGGATCCTAGGTTGATGCTCAACTG